GTACCTATCTAGTTGAGTTTTATCACCTCCTAACGTATGCAAAATGATTTTTGGGACACCCAGTGCATACAAATGTTATGGATAATATTACACAGCATTATTTTCTATCCTATATGTTCAGACCTGTTATGTTCTGTATAAAAAAAAATAGCATGAGCTTTACCTACTGCAAAATAAGGTATTATTATACATGATTTTATTTATGAACCAGCATGCATTTTTTTAATGAATAGGTCAGTTTTATTTAGTTAGTTATAAATTAAACTGCTTTGCTAAATTGAAAAGTCTGTTTATTTTGGCAAAAACAACTATTTACACATTTGGTAAACATATCTTACTGAAATAACCTTATGACATTAAACTTATTGCATGAAATACCAATAATAATAATTTTTTTTTTTAATTTTATAAATAATAGTTTAGCTTGATATACAAATTTTTCAATATTTTCTAAACTTCCAGCTGCAGAATATACAGGGGATATTTGTTTTTAATCGAAAAATATAATTAACGATAGCTAACTTGTCAATACATTTTGTTTTTCTTTCGTCTCGACTTTTTTTAAATATTTCTTGGGACGATATTTTTAACCGATAAATATTGTAAACGAGTCATTACACTCAATATATATCTCTGTCCCATGAATTAAAAAAATTTATGCTTCATACGGTGAATGTTTTTAATCGAGAAAAAATTAGTAACAGGTGAGTACATGCAATACATTTCTCTGTCTCCTACATTTGGTTAAAAATTATCTGTTTCATAAAGTGATTGCTTATAATCAACAAGTATTGAAATCGGGTAAGTATATTTTGAAAAGTTCCGGGAAAAATTACGGTAAAAATAACGTCACTCAGGGTGCTAGTTTTTTTTTACCGTAATATCCATTTTTGCCAAAACAGGTTATGAAATAAAAAATCTGATCTGCTAGAATTTTTTACAATAATTATTACCGTAAAATCACTGAACCACTCTAATGTAATTTATATCACTGTAATAATTGCAATTTAATAATTTACGGTGAAATGGATTTCACTGATGATGCACCCAAACTGCCGGTACGCTATCCCCTTGCATCCGAAGCGTCATGAAAAGACATTTACAAGCAAACTACGGCAAGTGTCGTTTCGTGACGGTCTTGTTTTTTTGGGGTAGGGAGAGTAGAAAAAGAGATTCTTGGGTGGGGAAAGAAATGGGGGTCAGTTAAGGGGAGGACGAACAAAGAGAAGGGTTGGCAGTTTACCTCAATTACTCAAACTATTATATCCTTCCCCTAAGTTTCTTCTGAATGGGTTGCTTTTTGCTTTGAAATTTGGCCTTCAAGAAAAACGCCAATACTGTCATTTCATTTTACTTACATTGAAAACTATTTTGAAAAGCACAACTAAGAAGCTTTTTCTTAAGCAATGTTTTTTTTCTTAAATAACATTATTAAAAATATGTAATCTAAGATTATGATTATTCGATAATAATCTACTTCAAATAATGTTTTATTTTTTTTATCCGCATTTTGTTATCATTAAAAATAAATAAATAAATAAAGTAAAAAAAATTGATAATAATATTAAAAAAAAAAAAATTCAGTGCTTTTATATTGTTTTAGTTACCTAAATTTTTACAGATTTCAATTGTTATAAAACTTTTTATAGTTTTTCGGCAAAGAATATAATAAAGATTCTTTGAATAATACATTTTTTCTTCATTTTCCTTCCATTTTATCAGATAAGTGATTCTTTAAATTTTTATTAATCGAGGATTTATTCATCAAAATATTAAACAAAAAATCTGATTATAAGAACTTTACACAATTTTATAATTTTCAAGATTTTTTCGTTTAATAGAAATACAAAAATAATGATTAATAGATATGGCGCGAAATATTAAGAAAAGTTTCATTTTATTTTACTTCATATTTATATTATATTTATTTTCTTTCAATGCATGTAATAAATTTATTAATATTATATTTACGGATTTACTAAAAGCAAAAAATTTAAACGGAACAAGGGATGTTATTTTTTAAATTATTTTACCTGCCTTTTTTCAAACGAACCTTCAGCGAAGAATTAATAAGAGTTATTTAAAATCAGAATCAAATAAAAGTTGTTTAAAACCAGAATAGTTAAAATCCACGAATATTTGATACGAAAAAGCTTCTCGACTAATC